CTACTTTTGGGCTGGAGAGACAGCTCAGCAGGTAAAGGTGCCTGCTGCCAAGCCAGAGGACCTAAGTTCAATTCATGGGATCCACATGGTGGAAGGCGAGAACTAACTCTTGCAAGTTGTTCTCGGCCCTCCTCCATATGTGTGTCCTGTCTCCTGTGCGTGTGTGCACGCGCCCCCCCCCCCCCCCAAAAACATTAAAAAAAAGAAACTTTCTGAAAAAAAAAAGCGGAAATTACTCTTTGGAGTTGGTCTCCGCCCTCCTCCATATGTGGTGCCCCTCTCCCGGGGGGTTGGGCCCGCCCCCCCCCCCCCCACCAAATACATTAAAATAAAGGAACTTTCTGAAAGAAAAAAAAAAACACCAAAAACTCAGAGCTGGAGGAATCATGGGAGGACCAGTATACAAACCCCAGGGTGCATGCCTTAGGCAGAGTGCAGCCTCATGACCCACTGGCCAATCAGCACAGGAGAATGTGGGGATAAAGCAAGCCTTCCTGAAGGTCCTAAGCTTTATAAAAGGCATCTGTAATGAAACGATAGTTAACAATGTACTTAATGGTGAGACAGCGCTTTGTTATTGGATGTCTGGTCCCACCACTGTTACTCAACACAGCCCAACAATTTTCTATGTAGAAAGTCACAAGGAATGCACACATACAAAAACACTAGCATAACTAAGTTCAACTAATTTGCAGATACAAAATCAGCATATGAAAGTCTTTATTTCTACACACAGACACACTAACAATAAATTAAAAAATTAAAATCTAAGCAAGTTTTTAGATAGAGCCAACACCATTCTAAACTTTATACTGAAAGATAAAGCGAACAGCTAAAGCAATTTGTAAGTGCGTGTGTGCGTGTGCATGTCGGGGGTGGTGCATATGCATGTGGAAATGGGAAGAAAATTTCACTGTCGTTCCTCAGGTGCTGTCCACCTTGGGTTTTTTGTTTGTTTGCTGTCTTTTGAGACAGGGTCTCCCTGTAGGCTCAGCTGGCTTGGAATTTGCTATGTAGTCTACGCTGATCTTGATCTCACAGAGATTTGCCTGCCTCTACCTCCCGTGTGCTGGGACTAAAGGTGTGTGCCATTAGGCCTCGTCTTACCTTTGTTTTTCTTTCTTTGAGACAGAGCCTATCACCGGCCTGGACTCACCAAGCAGCAGCAAGTCCCAGAATTCAACTGTCTCCACCTCCCCAATGCTGGGATTACAAGTATACATCATAACATCTGGCTTTTTTATGAGCATTCTAGGCATCAAACTCAAGTCCCGATGATTTCAAAACAAGTGATTTACTGACTGAGCTACCTCCCCAGCCCAAACAATTTTGATAAAGAATAAAAGAGGAAGAATTGGTCTATCTGACTTCAAGACTTACTACATTGCTATAGCAGTCAAACCTGTGGTACTGACAAAGGACACACACCTAGATCAGTGCAACAGAGAACCCTGAAGACAACCTATAAAGAGCCCACCCATGGAAATTCTTGACTTGTCTCAAACAAGACAGCCGGTGAGGACAAACGCCTGAGGTTGTTGTCTGACCACCACATGCAACTCTCCCCACCACAGGAACACACATCAAACACAAAAGATTTTTTTTTAAACCTCGCAGATGTAAAGTTATAAAACTTTTAGAAAGATGTGAAAGTTTTGGATTTATGGGTTGGTAAAGAATTTTTAGATTTGACAGCAAAAGCACAATTCAAAAAGGGAGAGGGGGAAATAAATTATACCCCACGGAAAATCCCTAATAATGGACTGTGTTTTTCTGCCCAAATTCCCACACTGAAGTTATCACACTGCAGTGATGTTGTAATGTGACCTTATTTGTAAATATGGTAGTAGCAGATGTACCTATTTGAAATGAGGTTGTTACCATGAAGCAATCATTATGACCAATGTCCTTATAAAAAGGGGAAACATGAACACAGGTGTCTAAGTAAAGATGCCACATGAAGATGAATGCAACAATCTTAAAAAAAATGTACTGATTATATTTATTTTATGTGTTGGATGTATTCCCTGTATGTAGGTAGGTGCACCTGGGTTATGCAGTGCCCGCAGAGGTCAGAAGAGAGCATCAGATCCCCTGGAACTGGAGTTATGGATGGTTGTTAGCTGCCATGTGGGTGCTGGGAATCTTGCTCTGCAAGAGCAGTTAGTGCTCTTAACCACTGAGCCATCTCTCCAGTCCCCAAAGACTTTGTCCCAGCCAAAGACATGGAGAGAGACATGGGACAGACTTTCCCTCAAAAGGAACCAGTCCTTGATTTGGGACTTACAGCCCGCAGAACTGTGAGAAGATCCATTTCTGTTGTTTAAGCTGTCTAGTTCATAATTCTTTGCCATGGCAGCCCTAGAAGACTAATGCATCCCTGTGAAGATGATGAAATAAAGCATTACAGATTTAACGGAAAATACTCGTGAACCACCTACTTGACAAAGGACTACAATTCAGAATATTAAAAAATTCAAAAAAAGTCAAGATTAAAAAGGCAAACTCTCCAATCAGATTAGACACAAAATACATATAGAAACATTCCATGGAGGAAGATACAGATGACAAATAAGCACAGGAAAAGAGGATGGCACCATCAGGTATTATAGAAATACAGGTTAAAAACCACATGGATTAAGCCGGGTGTGGTGGCGCATGCCTTTAATCCCAGCACTTGGGAAGTACAGGCAGGCAGATCTCTGTGAGTTAAAGGCCAGCCTGGTCTACAAAGTGAGTTCCAGGCTAGCTGGGGCTACAGGGAGACCCTGTCTCAAAAAGCCAAAACAAACAAACAAACAGAAAACCCACATGGATTTTTTAAAAAGCACACTAAGTCAAGAAACATTTATCAGAATGGTTCAGATAGAATATAGTGACTATATCAAATAAGGATACAGGTATCAAGGTCAAGTGGTACAGTCACTGTGGAAAGTTTGGAAACTTCTTTAAAGGTTAAACCATGCAACTTCCAGATGACTTGGCCTATACACAAAGTTTATAGCAACTTTATTTGTAATAAGAAAACACTGGAAACAATCTAGATGTCTTTCCGTAGATCAATGTCTAAACAAAACTATACCACAGCATACTCAAACAATAAACAGCAAGCAATTGTTGACACCTTGTTGGGGATGAATCTCTCAAGAATTAGCCTGACTGTGAAAAGCCAAACCCCAAATATTTGATACAGTAAGATGTACAAAAATTCTTTAAAGGGAAAAAAATTACAGAAGAATGCCAAAGTTTAAAGAAGGGTGGAGGCTGACTGGAAGAGACTGTGGATCTACACTGGCAGCCCAGGGGTCTCCTGGAGACAGAAATATCCTGTATTTTGAATGTAACAGTTCTGGGCTGAACAGATACCCCAGCAGTTAAGAGCACTAACTGCTCTAGCAGAGGACCTGGGTTCAATTCCCAGTACAGACATAGCAGCTAACAGCTGTCCCTAACTCCAGTTCCAGGGGATCCAATGCCCTCTTCTGACCTCCACAGCATTGTATAACATGAGTGCATTCACATGCATGCAGGCGATATAACACATAAAAATAATAAAATGTTTTTTCAAAAAATGGCATTCCAGGGATCTCTGGGAGACAGAAATGTCTTGTATTTTGACTGTAACAATGTGATACAATTCTGTAGGTTTTCAAGTTGTGACCGCTGGGGAACACTTGATAAAGGGTGAATGGAATCTCTGCATTATTTCTTACAACCACATGTCAATTTACAGTTAGCTTAAAATCAAGTTTACTTTTTAAAAATAGAAAGATCAACAAAAACAAATGAACTAGTGCTACATAATAGTGGAAGAAGCCAGATGTGACTATGTATATGCTGTATTATTCTGTTCTAGTGAATTTCAGATATGAGCAACATTAAACTGACAGTGTCAGAAGAAAACTACCATTGGGGAGCAGAGTGGAGGAAGGAATGAAGGAGCAATGAGGGACTTCTGGGGCCCTGGTACTTCAGTTTGTGATTTGCTGGTGGCTACATGAGCCTGTAGTCATTAACTCATGACTTACCCACTTTGAGTATCTATGCTACATATTATTTCTTTTTAAGTTTATTAAGGAAAACAAAATGTCCAAGGACAATCAGGGTGTGGAAGAGAGAGCTGAAGGCAGAAGTAAGAGTGAAGGCCACCACATTGCCACATCAAGGTGGAAGACACAGGGTTGGGAGACCAGGACTCTAGGTTTCCAATTACAGCCCAGTTACTGCATTGATTCAGCACAGGCTGGGATACACTATGAATAACAAAGTCAATGCCTTCTGGGTGGGACACACAAATGCATACTTATTCAAGAATAAGTGACTATGATAGGTCACAAGTGTAATTAAGTCTTCAACAGGAGAGAGAGAAGGAAAAACAAACAGAAAAGGTCCCTCATCGATGTCACATTTCTCAGACGACAGAGACCCAAATGTAAGCTGTTGACAAGTTCTATAAAGGAAAGCAAAGCCAACTTTCTATACAGTAACTCTAAAGTTACAGCCCATCTTTACAACTAAGCTTGAGGACGCGCCATGAAGTACGTCCCTTTCAACCTCACAATCTTGCGAAAGATTATCAGGAAAGTGATCTGACCCTTCCGAAAGCTAAAGCCAGTAGAGACAACGCGGACCTCAGGGGAACATAACACATACACCACTTAGAGGACTGGGGAGTGCACAGAGACCCAGATGAAATGAGGAACTGGTCGTTGCACCAATCCCGAAAACTACACGTAGACACTAATAGTGGGAAACCACAAACAGACAGTAATAGTACGGGGCTCTGTAGAACCCTTCACATCTAGTAAATCATTTTTTCTTCCAACTTCTATGTTCCTACTCTTGAAAAACTCAAAAAGCCGGAAGCCCTCCAGGTTACACGGAGAAATATTGGCGGAGGGACCGTACTCCAAGCCAGGACCGGTTTAGTCCCAATTCCCGTTTTGTACAAAATCTCACAGAAAAGGACAACTGCATGAGCCCACAGCCCTCCGAGTTACCTTCAGCAGGCTCTGGAGGGCCAGGAAATGCTCTGCAGTTAGGGCAGCCATCTTCCCGGAATCACGTGCGCTCCTGAGCTGCCCGGGAGTGTCACGTGATCCACGTCGCATGGCATGCCGGGAGTTGTAGTTGATGGGCTGGGGAGCGGCTGTGCCGAGACTGTATAGGCTCTGGCTGTTTGGAACTGGGAGGAATCAGGAAGTTTCCAAACTGGGATGACTAATCCCGAGAACAAGAGGGAGGGAGAGGAGAAGTGGGGAGGGGGAAGAGGAAGGCGATGAAGAGGGGGAGGAGGGGGAGGGGGAGGGGGAGGGGGAGGGAACCCTGAAAAATAGAGCAGGTGATTAGTAAAGGAAGAAAGCCATATAAAAACTATTACCGGGTTGGAGATATGGTTCAGCTCTGACTGCTCTTGCAGAGAACCTGGGTTCGGTTCCCAGCACCCACAGGGTGGCTGACAACTGTCCATAACTCCAGTTCCAAAGGATCTGATGTCCTCTCCAGACCTCTGAAGGCACTGCATAACCCAGGTGCACCTACCTAGATGTAGGCAATACATTCATTCACATAAGAAAATAATAAAAATCTTTTTAAAGAAAAGATTGCTGCATTCATCTTCACGTGGCATCTGCTTTACTAACTACACCGTGAGCAAATTCTTGAGCCTCTCTGAGCCTCAGTCTCCACATCTGTAATGTGGCATTGAGACACCTACTTCATAGAGCAGAACTGAGAGACAGGTGCTATTCTGGGGGGATACCAGCTCTACCTGCTCTCATGGACAGGTATGCTACAAGGGGATCCCTTAGACTCTAGTCAGTGGCAGGCAGTCTGCAACCTTCTTCTCCTCCCCCCTCCCCCTCGTCCTCCTCCTCAAACCCTGTCATCCCATTTAGTGGCAAGCCCAGATTGCCACGATGTGTTAAAGGTTTGTTTGTGGACTGAAGCTCTTCCCACAAGTCCTAAATCATAGGCACCAGATACCACCACAGAAAGGAAGAGGACAGAATGTTAAGAGTTCACCTCTATGATTTGGTCCCTCTGCTGTTTCCATTAGTCCTAATATGATTTCTTTCCCATTGGGCATATAGGAATTAGCACTTTCACTTATTTAAAAATCTTGCCACGTGACAGGCTCCATTCTAGCTTATATGATTTTTATATTAAATATGCATGAGGACAAATTCACAGTCTATGTTATTTTCTTCATTGCAAATGTGAAAAACTGAGACACAGAGAAGGTAACAGCTTGCCCAAGGCTACACAACTAAGCAGTGGAAGAACCAGGCATGGTGATGTATGCCATAAGGCCCAGCACTTAGAAGGCAGAGGCAGACAGAGCTCTATGATTTCAGCCTAGCCTCATCAACATAGTGAGTCTCAGGTTAGCTAGGGCTACAGTGAGAACATGTCTTAAACAAAGAAACTCAGGCAGTTTGCTCCAGAGACTGCACCACTACCTACTAAACTGTGCATGTCTCCCTGTTTTCCCACAACTAAAAACTCACATCTCTTCCATTTGGATGTCTGACTACCTTTCTTACAGGACAAGAATAAGTTGAGCTCATTCCTGGACAGCTTATAGAGGAATACAGTAAGAGATAAGGAGTGGAGGAAGTATCATGGGCTTCAGAGGAAGCCTCAGGCTAAGCTTCTGGCTTTGTGTGCTCCTGGCATGTTACTTCACTTCTCTGGCATGTTGCAGTCTCTTCATCTCTAAACTTGGAATAACAATAATAACATCTTTTGGCTATTAGAGTTCAGGGGTGGCTTATGCCCAAATGGGAAAGGATTGTCCGTGTGGATGCTCCATTCAAGTCATTGCCAGTACTAAAGGATAGTGCTTCACTCTTATGGAAAAGGGTGTTTGAAAAGAAGGGAGGTTGGAGGCAGGACGATCCCTGGGGCGTGCTGTCCAGCTAGTCTAGCCAATTGGTGAGGCCAGGTTCTGTGATACACTGTTTCAAAAGAAATAAGAAAGTCCGGGCTGGAGAGATGGCTCAGCGGTTAAGAACACTGACTGCTCTTGGAGAGGACCCTGGTTCAATTCCCAGCACCCACATGGTGGCTACAAACCATCCTTAACTCCAGCTCCAGGGGAATCTGAAGTCTTCTTTGGACCTCTGAGGCATTGCAGGACACAGGTGCACTCACATACAGGCAGGCAATACACTCATACACATAAAATAAAAATAATAAATAAAATATTAAAAAATAGTCGTAGAGGAAGACACTTGATATTGACCTCTGACCTACACACACATGCACACATATGCATGCACACCTCCCTCCACACATATACAAGCACATATGTACAACGCACACAATACTGGCTTTGTTGAGCTAGAATTCACATTCACGTACTATGCAGTCTTCTCACTTAAAGTATGCAATCCCGTGGGTTTTTAGTGAGTTTTTAAAACACCATCATCAGTTTTAGAGCATATTCGCCCCTAAAAGAAACACCACATCCTTCAGTTGCCACTCTAACTCCACCTCCAGCAACTTTCTCCATCACCTCCAGCCCTTGACCACCACTGATCTACTCTCTGTTCTTCTAAATTTGCCTATTGACATTTCATATAAGTGGAATTATAAGGTATGATCTTTTGTGCTTTGCTTCTTCTATGTAGCCCAATATTTTCAAGGTTTATCCATCTTGAAACATGGATCAATACGCCACTGCTTTTTGATGAACAATAGTTCTTTGTATGGATGTAGCACATGTTGTATATCTGTTCATCTGTTAACAGACATTTTGGTTGTTTCCACCTTTGGCTATTAAGAATAATGCTGGTGTGAACAAGTATGTGCAAGTTTTTTTAAGACATATATTTCCTTCCTTTTGTAATCTATACCTAGGGATGGAATTTCTGGGTCATATGGTAACTCAGTGTTTCCTTTTTTGAGAAATTATATATTTTTTTAAGTAATTGCACCATATTTGGGGGGGATCTTTTTGAGACAGGGTCTACCTGTAACACCAGCTGGCCTGGAACATGCTATGTAGACCAGGCTGGCCTTGAACTCACAGAGATCTGCCTGCCTCTGCCTCCCTAGTTGCTGGGACTAAAGGTGTGTGCAGCCACGCCAAGCTCAGTGATTGCACCATTTTACATCCCACCAGCAGTGTATTCTGGTTGCTCTACATTCTCACCAGTACCTTTTAGTATGTCTTCTTTTGAAATTTTTTTCCCTATTTTATGTGTATGAGTGTTTTGCCTGCATGCATGTAAGTGCACCATATGTATGCAGTGCCTGAGAAGGCCAGACAGTGTCAAGATCCCCTGGAACTGGAGCTATAGATGGTTGTCAGTGCCATGTGGGTGTTGTGAAATAAGCCCTGGTCCTCTGTAAGAACAGTCAATGCTCTTAACTATTGAGCCAGCTCTCCAGTTCCAAGTGTTTGTCTTCTTGAATGCAGCCATCCTCACAGTTTAATCACTGGGAGCAATCTTGCAAAGCAAGGACCTTTTTCTCTTTAAACTACTTCATGTTCTGTGGACTGATGGGAGTGAAGAGACCTTAAGCCTGTCTTCTCCCTCTTGGTCTCACCGATAAGTCCTGGCTGCCTTCTTTGTCAGAGCAATACCTGGAGGAGGTGGATTAGGCAAAGGGGCCTAATCCAGGCAAAAGGTTTCCCTTTTTCATACCCACATCTTGCAGACTGAGAGGAGGATGGGCTGCGGGAGGAAATGGCTGCTCAGTTACATTGTTTTATGTCTTCTGCTCCAAGATCAAGGGGCAGCTTTCAGTTTGCCTGATGAGCTCACCCTGTATCTTAATCCATTTAGGCTGTTAGGACCAAATACTATAAACCAGATGGCTTATTCACAGCAACAAATTTATTGCTTACAGTCTAGGGGGTAAGAAGTCCAAGATCAAGTTGCTGGCAGGGTTAATGTCTAGTAAGGAGTAGTTTTTAGTTCATTGATGGCACTTTCTGACCATGTCTTCATAAGAAGGAAGGATTGAAGGAAATTCCTGGGGTCTCTTTTATTAATGCAAGGACACAAACATTCAACCATAGCACCAGGAAACTACAGGCAAGGTAGGGAGCAAAGACTTGAGTATCTATAGGGATGCTCAACTGGGAGATTCCATTTATACTCAGATGGGGCATCACAAACTACATGGTCTCTTTCTCAACAATGTTGTGTTCTACAGTCTTGCAAAACTGGGACTCGATGCAAAAATCTAGACTTCTGGATTAAAATAAATATTGGTCATCTTAGCCATACTGTTCCCACCTATGTATGGGCCCTCCAAATCTGAACCACTGCCTTCATGTCCCAGTGAACCCTCATCACACACTTGTACCCTGCCTTGACCCTGAGAGTATCTGAAAGTGCCCAGCTTCCCTTGGGCACTAATGGAATGAACTTAGGTCCTAATAGGCAGCAGGATGGATGCTGTGTTTGCATCCCTCTCTATACCATCTCCTCAAGGGTCTGAGAAGTTGTAGGTGTAACCTGAATACCTAATCAGTCGTTCATGGCTTTTGTTAACGTTCTGTGAGCCATATACTGTTCTAAGAGTTGTGCATGTATTGACTCACTTAATTCCCATAGTAACCCAGTAATAATCCCATTTAATAGGTAGGAAAACTAAAGCTCAGAGAAAAAAAATCACCCATAGTCCATGGAAAATAGTGCCAGAGCCAGGATTTGAAGACAAAAGCAAATGAAGGCATTTTGTGAGCCTGTTTGTTCCATTACAGAGTTCTGTGGGTATGAATCAGTAGTGACTGATCTGGCCTTGCTTACTGCTATAAACATATGCCATGGCTAGTGATTGGTTCTAGCCAGGTGCTCCATCACAAAAGCAAAGGGTTGGAATAGATGATGCATGTGTTTAGAGAAACTGTCTCTATTTTCTTTTTGGCTTTAACATATTGAGCCTCTGAAAATTGGTAAGAGAAGAGGAAAGGGACACTGGGGATTTGCCATGTATTGACAAGTGGTCCAAAGCAGCAGATCACTCTTGAGGCAGAATCCCGTTTCCCACTGTAGAAACCATGGGCTGAACATTCCTCTCTCCTCTCCCTGCCCTTCATGTCCTGGTTGCTATGATTGGTAAAGTCCAGAG